ATTTTCTTAATTGTTACCCTTTGATACTAATTGTCATCTTAGTTTATGGTTTCCTTCACATCTGCAATTGGATTTGCTAACATTAATCTTCTTCTCCTTTTGTCTCTTTCGTCTCGAGTTGTTGACAAGAGAATATGGCGGCTGTTATGCGTTTGTGTTCCGCCGTTTGCTCCATTTACTGTATCTCTTAGCTTGATAGTTTGTAAACTGGCCGAATGTCTACTGAAACTACCCAGAGATGAAAGATTATCTAAACTGATGATAGCAAAGACTGCGAACACAGTAAACAGCAAAGCAGTAAAACCATTCGGCGATAAGCAAGCCAGCAAGAAGGCTCGATCGCAAACAAAGGGGAGTGTTAAACTCATCAATGCAGCAAAATTATTGAATATGGCACTAGCTGCAAACCTAATTCTCCTTTCTAACGACATTTCACTAAATCCTGGACCAACACAGCCCTCGCCATCTCTGACGAAAGGTCTTCGTTTACTTCATCACAACATTTGCAGCCTACGAAACAAAATGGACGAACTTAGAGTATTCTGCGACGAGCACAGACCACACATCGTGACAATAAACGAGACTTGGCTTGATGACTCGTTCACCGACACTAAAATAGCTCCCCCTGGCTACAGTGTTATGCGAAAAGACAGAGACAAAAATGGCGGTGGCGTCGCGGTATACATAGCAGAACAACTAAATTACAGTCGGCTTGAAGAAAGTACAATCCAAACACGGAACGACAACTTTGAATCAATTTGGTTTGAAGTATGCCGGCCAAAAACAAAGAATATTTTATGTGGAGCAATCTACAAAACACCAGATGCTGCCCCAGCCGCTTTGACTAGCTGGGTCGAAGAGATTCTAAACAACGTCACAAGTGATGATAGTGAAATTGCTCTTAATAGAGACTTTAACTTGAATTATTTGAACCCGACTTCTGCGACAAAGCATTTCCAGCAGACAGCAAAATCTTTTCATCTGAAACAAATAATCACAAAGCCCACTCGAACTACTGAGGAGACCAGAGCTTTAATTGACCTATTTCTAAGATCAAGACCAGAACTGTACACCCGTGGTGTTATTCCAGTCGGCTTCTCTGATCAATGTGCTATCTTCGGAGTCAGAAAACTCCACAACATCAAGCGCCCTCCGCCGAAAATTATTCAGAGCAGAAATTACAAAAACTACGATCCCGCAGTCTTTAGTGATGATTAAAGTAAGATCCCATGGGATATTCTCGAGATGGAACAAACGACTAATGAAGCTTGGATTGTTTTCAAAGATCTTTTTTTGTCAGTTGCAGACAAACACGCGCCTGTTGCCAAGCGAAGAGTTCGCGGGTTTTCAGTCCCATGGCTAACACCAAGTATTAAAGAATTAATGATAGAAAGGGATTACCATCACAAAAAAGCGATCAAAACAGATCAAGAACTGCACTGGACCAAATACAAGCGCTTACGTAACACCGTTTGCAAGAAAATGAAGAAAGCGAAATCGGATTATTATTCTTCTCGCTTAACAGAAACCCAAGATCCAAAAACGATGTGGAGAACCCTGAAAAAAATCATGCCAGACAAGAAAACTGCCGATGCGTCAAAAAACAGCAGCTTGTCTGCATCAAAGTTCAATCACTTGTTCACTTCCATCGCCGGCAAACTGTGTGAACGTTCTCGACTAAGCACTTTCATAAAACCACAAACACCCAGAGTAAACAAAAACTTTTCTATAGAAGAAATGAACGAAAGGTTTGTCTGTGACGAGCTAAAGAGACTCAAATCAAAGAAAACCACTGGTCTAGATGGAATGTCTGCAAGACTTTTAAAGGATGCAGCTCCTGTGATAGCGAAACCCATTACTTACATCATAAATTTGACTATTTCAACTGGTGAATTTCCACCAGAACTCAAAGAAACGAAGAAAGTAACTACAGGCCAATATCCGTGTTGCCCCTGGTCTCCAAGATCATGGAACGTGAAATCCAAGTACAGCTTGTGAAATTTCTTGAAGCAAACGAAGTTCTGTCAGTGTACCAATCAGGATTCCGAAAAGGACATTCTACTGAAACTGCTGTGAGTTATCTCACTGATCAGATTTTGGAACACATGGATAAACAGCAAATGACTGGCCCTGTCTTCATTGACAGAAAGAAGGCTTTCGACCTAAGTAACCATAACTGTTTGTTGCAGAAGTTAGAGCACTACGGTATCAAAGGCAAAAGTCTCACATGGTTCCAGAACTACCTTGGACCTCGTACACAAGGAGTACGATTTGGACAGGACTTGTCGTCAAGCCTCCTTATTAAGTATAGTGTCCCACAGGGATCCCTGCTGGGACCACTACTTTTCGTTATACACATCAATGACCTGCCAAGCTATCTCAAAAACACGCACATCAGTATGTATGCTGATGATACAGTCATCTATTGCTCAGGTGCAAACCCAAAGGAGATAAAGAAGGCCCTACAAGAAGACCTAGAACGTGTTGTAACTTGGATGAAAATAGATCGACTGGTTCTGAACAAAGACAGAACAAAGGGAATGCTTTTCGGGACGAGACAAAGGCTGGAGACCGTCGCAAACTTTAACATCATCATAAGTGGTATCAATGTAGAGATGGTCAGTAAATTCACATACTTAGGCGTTACCCTCGATGAGGAACTGAAATGGAAAGCACATGCTGAAGATGTTCACAGGAAAGTATCCAAGCGACTTGGTCTCCTCATACGAATACGCTCCAGTCTCACTCTACAAGCAGCTCAAGTGGTATACAAATGCATTATTGAACCAATTTTTAGCTACGCAGACTCAGCCTAGGGTGAACTACCCGAGAGCAGCATCACTAGTCTGCAACGATTACAAAATCGAGCCGCGAAAATCGTCACCTGTCAGAAAAGTACAGGACAGCCCGACTTATCGTAAATTGGCCAGATTTAGAAACACTGCTAAAAATACACAAATGTATTTTAGTACATAAATGTTTACGGAATCTCGTTCTTACATACTTAAAAAACTATTTTAAAGTTAACAGTGACGTACACAATTATAACACTAGGCAGAGGAGACATATTCACCCAAATAAAACAAATCTTGTTCTTGGAGGGCGAACTTTTAGAAATTCAGGACGTTTAGCCTTTAATTCACTACCAAGCAAAATCAAAGAGGCAAGTTCTCTAGAAATTTTAAACGCCTCCTTAAAGGACATTTTATCTGATTTTATCTCCTCTTTTAATCTTGGCAAATTTTATTCAACCTTGTAATTTTACTGGATATGTGTACATATAAATTTTATAGAAACCAAGGCCCCTAAGGATACCAGCCTCGCAGCTGACTGGGCCACCCTGACTAAATAAAGTTGTCTTGTCTTGTCTTGTCTTTTGTTCTTTAAGACTTTTTCTGCGCGTTTACCTTTGTCTCCCTGAAAGCTGTCTAATCCGAACTAACAATTTTGTAGCAATGGATAGAGTAAACAAAACGGGCTCAGCTTATATAAGTTTACTAAAGCATTTATAGATTGTTTTACAACAAGTTAATTATTTTTAGTATGGTATATATTGATGGTGGCTTGAGAGATATCAACATCTATTTATTTCTTGTCCGTTACGGTCACTTTGAGTTCTTAAAAGTAATTTTGCTTCTAGACGAACAAACCAATAGTATTTTTCTTCTCTACATTGCTCTTACAAAAATTAGGAAATATTATTTATACTTAGAAAACACTCACAAATTCATTAAGCATGTCTGACTTAATCAGTTATAAAAACTACCTAAACAGCAATGCCTTTTTTGTATCTTTTTGTCTCTATCAGTCTAGAGTCGATAACAGAAAAAGCACTCACGGATGCAACAAAATAAGTGAATAAACGCTTAACTAAGAAGTGTGAAAGTGAAGTAAATAAGTGAGTCTTCTTTCCAGCAAGCTTTCACTTAGCCTCCATGTTAAAACTATAAAAATGATTACCATTACTAACAATGCATTACAATTGTAAGATGAACATTACATCATAAAATCAGGAGCCACAAAAAGATGAGCCTAAGGTTCTCGAAGTCTTGACAACAAGTAACCACTGAACAATAGACGACTACAACATTGGAGGTTCAGCAATTCTGGTATCGTGCCTCAGTCTTGCACAAGAGTAGTTGCTGCGGATGACTCCTCATCTTCGTCATTTACGGTTTCGTCTGTATCCACGGCCGTTAGTTGATAACCATTACTCTCTTGCACACCAACCTCTTCACCACAAAGGTATACGGCATCACCTTGGTCCTTCATGTGTTTTCCAATATCGTCTTATTCTTCCTCTGTGTTCACAAGTTAGCAAGTGTTAAGTTATTCCGTTCCTTCCTCCCTTACAGATTGTACTGCTGCAGCACCTTAATCATCAGCATGAGTCTCAGGTTTGCTTGTTCCACCTTCTTCGACATCTGGAGGACAGGCGGAATCAACATGGCCTTTTTATTCAATCAGGGAAGGATATTCGAAAAAATCGACATCTTCTTCCCCGATTACGGGAGGAAATTGTGAAGCATCAGGTTTGTTCACCTTAGTGGCAAGGGGGTGTGCATCAGAATTAGGATCCTCTTTTTCAATTAAAGAAGAGCATACTGTAGCTTCCAAACCCTTTTCCCCACTCATAGAGGAGCATGCAGAATTGCTGGAATCTTCCGTCTCAATCACAAGAGAGCATGTTGAACAGTCAGGATTTTCCTCGTCACTCACAAGGGGGCATACCAGAGTACCAAGACCATTATCGTCCATCACCAAGGAAGATGGCAAAGGATTGATATATTCTTCTTCAATCGTAAGAGGGCACTCAGGGTCATAAATATCGTTCTCCTCAAGCCCAGGAGAGTACTCGGAGTCACAAAACTCTTCCACCTCGTTCTCGCTGAGGTATGGTAAAGCCTCAATCTCGTATAAGTACGCTGAGACATCAATCTCTTTTTCATCATTTTTAAAAGAGTGTGCTACCCCACCCTCTTCTTCTACTTTGATTCCGAAATGGGAAGCTCCAGCACCATCCTCTATTGCAGCCACAAACGAATAAGCAGTAGCGCCCTGTTCACCCACCTTTCAGTCGGGATTTTTTGTAGCTGCTCCTTCGTCCACCACGCCATCTCTGAAGGGGAAGGCCGTTGCAGCGCCGTCTATTGCAACCACAAAAGGATGCGCTGTAGCACCTTGTTCACGCACTTCATGGTCGTGATTTGCTGCAGCTGCCCCTTCGCCTCCTACGCTAACTTTGGGGGGGAAAGCTGTAGCGCCATCGTTTATTGCAACCACAAAAGGATCTGCAATAGCACCGTGTTCACCCACCTCGCGGTTGGAAATTGTTGCAGCTGCTCCCTGCTCATCCGTTTCTGCATCTTCTCGGTTTGCAGCAGCTCCACGATCATCGATAAACTTGTACTTATCGTGATCATACTTGTCCATGTCCACGATATCCACATATGTCTGTGATAAAAAATTGGAAGGTTATCGGGAATTAGGTTCGTCATGAAACGAGGAGCGATCCAAAAATGAATAATAACGAGTAATAATAAATAATAATGAAGTTCAGACATCGATTGCAAACGCAGGAACCGATTTACGTGTATCAATTGATAAAGAAACAAAAGCAAGTAAGGTCAACCTCTTTCTTCCAAATTATTACCTTATTAATAACTGTTGCATTCTAGCTATTAATTAACAAATGAAGAGCCCTTGACTGTGCTCCGTTCAGTTGTAAAGCCGGCTAAAAGAATGGAGGGGAAGCGCGAGACGTGGGAGAGTGTTGTTTCTCGCTACTTCTTTATCGTTTGTTTTACAATGAAGAGTCCGTCAAATCCCCAACGCATTACTTACTATTTTTAAAACATGTTGTTATTCTCCAATCAAACAGAAGTGGTGTCGGTATGTTCTATACTCCCATAAAACATGCTAAAAATCAGAATCCTTGCTAGCATGGTTCAAATAATCTGATTGGTTGAATTAGACTTCAGCTGCCAAAAATGTCAGACAATCAAAGTTTACAATCTGTAAGTGTTCACCAACTTAAATAGCTCGGCAGCTGGAACCTTAAGCACTTTTACCTGAAGTTTTCTATTCTTAATACAGAATTTGAAAGTGAAATGGACGATGAAATCAGCCCGATTCATGGCTCATAAAAACATGAGCGTTTTTTCAAATGGAAATAAGCAAGAAAACTGCCTGAGGCGTATGTTTTGTGAACCGTAACATACTGCTGTTGTAAAGGCTGATAGTTTCGAAAGAAACTGTTTGGGGCTGCGTCGGTGGGAGTAACGAAGTAATTTGGATATATCAACAAAGTTGAAATGGTAAATTGGCCACCGTAACGATTACAAAAGCTGACGTTTCGAGCGTTAGCCCTTCGTCGGAGCGAATAGGTCCGACGAAGGGCTAGCGCTCGAAACGTCAGCTTTTATAATCGTAATGGTGGTCAATTTACCATTTCAACTTTGTTGATACATCCAAATTATACTGCTGTTGTGACTGATGTGGCCCTCCCCTCAATGCATCGGAAAGGACATTAGAGTAAGCCCTTAGTTGTTCATTGAGATATCTGAGGCTTGCTTTACTGCGATCAATGGCGATCAGCAGTCGCTTTCACACCATCACGATTTGTATTATGTTAACAATTATGCTAATTTGGTTACATATTCAAGCTTTATTATTCCTTTTTTTTTGGGCTCTGTTATGTTTTTAACTACGAAAGTATACATACTATACGAGTGCTGCTTGTGTTTCAGTTTTATTACCGTAGGACAGCTCGCGAAATCAGAATCAGCGCCAAAACATTCAAGTAGTCCTTTTCGTTTTCTATTTGAGGATTTTTGTCTCTGCCCAAGTTACAATAACGTTAATTACGGCGCTTGATACGTTTACAAAGCTTTGTTTGGTTCTTCTGTAGCTACTTTTCGGTTCATTTGTTCCGAAATATCGCTTTCAATTAATGAAAAATAAAGTAGAGAAAATTCTGAGAAATGGTCGAAGTACAAGTTGGCAGATAGCGGACAGCTTTAGCTCAGCTGCTTCTTTTGTAATATAATAGAACACGCTCTTCCAGCCATTGACAGCGCACGCGCATTATATCCGAACTTTATTATGATAAAATTATTGTTAATGAAATGACCTGTAATCCTAATACATAGACCTACACCTCACGAAAACAAACAAATGCTTTCATAAAGGAAACAAACATTAGAAAAACAGGCAAACACAAGAAAACGAAGAGTAACAAAGAGCAAAATACAAAACGCTAAAAAAACCCAGAATGGACAGCGCATTTTCCGAATAGAATTTTCTATGGCAAACCTTTGTTTTAAGATAGGTATCCATTGTTTTGCAGAGGTTCACAAAATGTGGCCGGGCAGCTATTCGATATTTCCAGCAGCTTAACATCACCGCGTATCTATAGAAAAACAGTCACATTTTCTTACCACATGGAGTGAGAGGCCACAACTAGGTACAATTATGCCTGAAATACTAACTTTACAAAAATTAAAATCGCTTGCCTTACCTTGTTACATTGCAGTTCAAATAGAGCTTGGATTAAAAAAAAACCAACTTAATCTGAATTTGACTCCCCAAAGTTGAACTGACTGAAGTGTGTGATGAGGGTTTCATTTTTAACATGTCTTTTTTGTTAGTTTACTTTTTGTTTTGTTTTTTTTTGCTTTGTTTTTGTTTTGTTGTTGTTTTGTTTTGTTTCGCTTGTTTTTGTTTTGTTTTGTTTGTGTTTTATTTTGTTCTGGTTTGGTTTGGTTTGGTTTGGTTACATTTTGTTTTGTTCTGTTTGTTTTGTGTTTTTTTATTAATAGGGTAAATTTGTTAGGAAGACTATTTATTCAGTCTGAACAGGTTTTAAGGTTCACGAAGTATTCATATCATCATTACAGTCACTATTGCTGTTTTTTCTCACCTGATAAAATTAATGCAAGCTACAATAAAACCAATTACGATAGCTATCGTATGGCACTGTAGTTATGCAACTTTACTTTTACTTTGTACAGTCCATGTTCAGTATTACACAGAAGCCGAACGTACAAACTGTCGTCGATATGTTCAGGCTTTGGCAAACGGTAACCTTCTTGGATTTTTCTCATTGTCGTGGTTTCAGACCATCCTTCGTATGGAATGCCTCCTGTGGACAAATAATAAACATGCTATTCGCTAAAAGAGCACAACCTCTTTGCTGTAATCACTTCTATTCCAATAGGCTCGATCGGAATTATTTCACTATTAAAACGATAGTTATCAAACAATATTCCTGTTTTACATCAAGTAAAAAATAAAAGGAGAAAGATTTTTAAACGATTTGAAAAATACTATATTCATCGGTGACACTGAGTATTTCCATTTACTTCTCTATCGTGCAATGATTTTGTACCCGATCATTGTATAACCTTTCAATTGGTAATCGTGTGGGCGATTTCGGCGAGTCTATTTTCTGAAAGTAAAGTAACAAGTAAGTGAAATGAGTACCGATTGTGAAGATTTCAAACAGGACTATGCCATAAGACCACCTATGGAAGAATTAGAAGGATGACGATTCATGTCAACTGTGGTAGAAAAATAGCCTTGACTCAAATACTTGAACTATTTTTAAATATGTCTATTATTTTATAAACAATTCCCTGTAGCTGAAAACTCTATACTTATCTGTTTGATTATTCATTTATCTTTTCTTTCTATTTTTTTCTACTCAGATTTTAAATATCGCTACAGCTCTATCATCAGTTCCCCGGCTCGACATCTCCTAAAGACACTGATCAGAAAAGCACTGAATATTCTAAAACCTTCAATTTATTAAGGGGCCATTGTAAACAGGTTGACGGTTATAATACACATCTAATAACAAATACAGTACGTACACATCACTTTTGGTTGACAGCTGTTCCACATGGCCGAAAAGAATCTCGGGTGCACTCCATTTGATTGGGATGCATCCCTACATAAGTATCCAGAGCCTATAAGCATGTGTGATCTAAAGGGACTGGAATACAACCTCTGAAATATTTTGCATATAAGATATAAGCCCTTTNCTTCAATTTATTAAGGGGCCATTGTAAACAGGTTGACATTTATAATACATATAATAACGTATACGGTACGTACACATCACTTTTGGTTGACAGCTGTTCCACATGGCCGAAAAGAATCTCGGGTGCACTCCATTTGATTGGGATGCATCCCTACATAAGTATCCAGAGTGCTATAAGCATGTGTGATCTAAAGGGACTGGAATACAACCTCTGAAATATTTTGCATATAAGATATAAGCCCTTTCTCAGCTAAGATGTGAGGTGTCGCGATAAATCCGAGAGCAGTACACGCGTTTGTAAAATATTCCTTTAAATACAAATTACGTGCTCCTTTTTCTTTACGTCTCATGTATTAACTTTGCCTTTCGACATGCTCGAGTTTGTACTCTTGCTTCAAGAGAACATTGTCACCTCTAATTTGTTTAGATCTTGCATTCACACCTTAGGTAAAGTGTACATTTTATCTGAGTGAAAACTTCGATACGCATAGAATCGCATTACGATAAGGGAAACATGTTTTGTAATAAAACTGTATAAGAAGTAAGTAAGGTTCGTAAGGACGTTCAAGTTTCAAAATGGAGGGCGATTCTAGCTGACGTCATCATCTGGCATACGCCCATATTTCGATGAATTTTTTACATTTGAATATTTCTCACCAACAGCCCAGAAATAAATCTCACGTCTATACCTTGGGTATACATGTACAGGAAGCTAACCACACATTATGGTTAAAGGCTGATAGTTTCTAAAGAAACTGTTTGGGGCTGCGTCAGTGGGGGTAACGAAATAATTTGAATATATCAACAAAGTTGAAATGGTAAATTGGCCGCTGTTACGATTATAAAGGCTGACGTTTCGAGCGTTAGCCCTTCGTTGGAGCGAAGGGCTAACCCTCGAAACTTCAGCCTTTATAATCGTAACGGTGGCCAATTTACCATTTCAACTTTGTTAATATACTCAAATTATCACACATTATGGTATTTGATGCATTTAGTGACAGTCAAATAACAACTCCCTGAATAAATTATTAAAAAAAATGGAGAATGACCTTCTTGGCATTTCCTGGCCCGTATTTGAGACCCTGATAGGGGAGCCCAAAATCAGTCAACTTGCATACGCGATGCTCATCGAGGAGAATGTTGCGAGCTGCGAGATCGCGATGAATTATCTGTAATTAGAAAAAAAAAAAAAAAAGAGGAAAAGAAAAGATAGGCTAATAACGAAATAAATCAAGAGCAAGAAATTATCTTCCAAGTAGGAAAAGGAAAACAAAGGTATTTTTCGAACTATTTTGGTGTGATTGAGAGATTCTAATGCACTTGATCATTTTAGTCGTATGATGATCTAGTTGCAAAATGCAAACCATGAAGAGTTTTAGCACTTACCCCTCTAGAGGCGAGGAAAGTCATACCATTCGCGATCTGTTTACCAAACAGCACCATGTCATATGTTGTCAAGTGGTCGACCCTTCCGACCCCACGATGATAGTGGTCGAAAACCCCCCTGGATTTTCTGAGGTAACCCAGCAGGTCACCTCGCCACAGGTACTCCATGATAAGTATTGGCTGAGCTAAATGAGTTCAAACAGGAATTCATAAGAGAAGCAGAGTACAAGTTCCAAAATGTTCTAAATCGTACATGCTTATTTTATTTATATAGTAGGTTCTATCTGTTATGAATTATCCTTAATCGAAGCTTTAATCACAATTAGCGTGTAAATTGTACAGAGCTAAGTATTTTTAAAATAAATAAATAAATGACTTAATAAATTAAAAAAAACTGAGATATTCCTTGACTTAGCTCACCAAGGTAGTAATAGAATTTATTTTAGCAGCGATTCACCTCAGTGATGTTTTTATCCTTACTGTGACTTAGCTGATTACAATCATAACAATAGGTGATTACCTCCAACTGTAACACAGCCAATAAACTTAACAACATTCTCATGCCCCATCCTTCCAAAGAGTTTCAATAACTCGATCTCTCTAAAGAGGGCCCTTCTTCCTTGCTCTCCAGAGATTGCTAGGAAACCATAAAAGCAAAGAATGTCGTGATCTATTAATAGAAACAATTAATTTTGTGGTTAACATGCTCATCTAAAAGTGTTGTTTATTTGATGTTAAATAATCAGCACATGGTACAGTGCATAAGGTATACACATCTAAATCAAAACTCAAAAACTCATTCACGTTTGCTAAGAAAAAAAACTGAGCTGGCGTTTCTCTTCATATATACGATATTTCATTTGTAGGATATTTCCTGAAATAGATTCATCGTCTCTACCAATTAAAAGTTACGCAAGCCTTTGTTCTATTTTATTGTATTATATAAAGTTATTTCTTCCAAGATTCAATTTTAATGGTTTTTTTTTTGTTTGTTTGTTTTTGTTTTGTCCTTATTTTATGGTTTTGTCTCTCTTGATTTGTTTTGCTTCGTTTTTACGACTTATAACCGGTCCTCAAATTCATTTACGTAATAAGGTGATACACTTTTAAATCAGTTGGTTAAGTTAGGTCATGTACATCGTGTATGGACATTTGGTTCTAGTTTTTGTCTATTCAAAAGTGCACACCTTGACCTCTTTGAGGTCGCATAACAAGATTTTCCGTCAAAAGCCTCTCAGAGGGCAACATTGGAAAATATTCGACGTCAGGGGGAATTTTTCTTCGAATATTGACCAACGACCACCGCCGCGTGCGGAGAACATATGATTGAAGGTGGAATGAAAGTTAAGTGAGACTAAATCATTTTCAGTAGAAGTTTCCACTTTTAGATACTTTCATAACATAAAGTAGAACACAACGTGCGTTCTGATTGTTGAGGATACTGCAATCAAGCTTTCAATAACGAGAGATCGTGAAAATGTACTTACGCAGGTAACACTTGGCAGCAACTGTACGATTTCCACGCCTGCCACGGGACCGACCCAGTAGCGCTCGCCACACTGAGCCAAATGCCCCTCTGCCAATAGGCTCGCGAAAGTTTAGGCGATCAACTGCAATCTCCCATTCATCTGTGTTTGCGTTTAGCTGACCCATCTCAACTTCATCTTGCTCTTCACTAAATAATTGCAGATGAAACCACGACTTTAATTTAACTATGCTTGTTACATATCTGTCCTTATATCTCTGAGTCTAGCTCTTTTGTATATAAAAAGGCATCCAGGCGAGTGTCTATGAAATAATTTATATTAAACCCGTCATAAAATTCTCGTTTGCCCATGGAAAATTGTTGAAATAGGTGAAATTTGAATACTAGTCTACTCACTGAGCCCGTTGCACATCATCCCAGTGTCAGAGATTGGATTTTTTATAAAGCACTGACTGAACACAGTATGTGGAATCTGAAGATACCTTGTGCCGACTTGGTGTTTTGCATTTTACGTCGTTTGAATACCGTGTCTCTTACGTGCATGTCTGATGGTTAGAAATTAAATTGCTAACCAACACCAACCGAAGTATTGTCTAAAAATAGGGATCAGTTTACAATCGAGTTAACAAGTTATATTTAAAATGAGTCTACAAGAAGGGCCAAGCTAAAATACGACACAAGTGGAGTGGCGGTTAACAGTTCTCTGCACAGACTTCTTCAAGAGTGGAAAAGCTCAGGCAAAACAACATACAAAGTAACCATTAAACAAAGAGAATTTACTCACTTCAACCTGCTGGGCACCTCTTGCAAAGCTATTTTCAAAGAATATGTAGAAAAATATGAAAGAAATGGCTTCCTCGTGAGCAAGTATGGTATCATTAACTCAGTCAAAGCCTACGAGTCGTTTTAAAAATCACATTTAACTTATCTTAGACTATGACTAAAACTAAACAGGAATAAGGTGGCTTGCCATGGTAAATAGCTGGATACAATTTGCAACCCTCATGCGATTTGATTTGCTAATGGGCTTGCGGGGAGTGAAAAGTGACCTTCGATGTCATTCAGTTCTGGAAATGCAGAATGTGACTTGATAAAAATAGCTCCTTTATAATCCTAAACATTAACGTGTAAAAAGTCACAGTTTGCCTTATCAAAACAACTTGTTTTCATCGGGCAACCTATGGCACCTCCTTAAAGTTCCTTTTACCTGTCGCATGGCGTTTTTTGATGTATGCATTTAGAGCCAGCAGGAAAATGACAGCAGCCACAGGTCCGCCGATGTAGTACCACTCCAGTGAACTGCTGGAAGGAGCTGCTGGGGCTGCTGCATATCATGTAGGAAGCAATTTAGTTTATTAACAAAGGCAACCAGTGTCGTCAATTCTCGGGGTAGAAAGTTAGAGGGGTAGAGTTATATATATATATTTGTCTTGTCAGAATAAGGCAGATAGATGGTAAAAAGAAGAAAAGAAGGAAGAAGCATAATACTTTGTCCATTGACGTAAGGAGAGAGGGATTGGCTGACTACTGCGTTTTGAATTTTTGGAGCACCATCTTTCTTCCAGGTTACATTTTGTGCTCTCTGGAATAGGCAAGTTAATTTGAGTGTCGTCCTTTCCAATATGGAAGGTGACTCTTTTGGAAACATGAATAAAGGCTGAAAGTTTCTAAAGAAACTGTGGCGCTGCGTCGATGGGGGTAACAAGGTAATTGGTTATATCACCTAAGTTGAAATAGTAAATTGGCCACCACAGCAAGTAAAAAAGCTGACGTTTCGACCGTTAGCCCTTCGTCAGAGCATTAGCCCTTCGTCCTCTCGCTCTTTTGGAAACAATTTGAAGGTGTGTAGCTCTGTCAGTAGAAACACGAGACACCTCCTATGACAATGACATGCACTCGAGAAAGCCTAAAAAAAAACCGAGAGATATCTTAGGGGTAACTTTGATGTTAAAAAATATATTGATTCTTTTTAAAAGGCTTTTTATCTATTTATTTTTTCTGGTGAGATTGCTAAGAGTGGTTAAAAATCCCATGTAAATGTAAATATAAGTGTACATTAGAAATGTACCTGAAATACAAAGTCTATCATCATAAGAAATGAGTCATCTCCACGTATGAGATGCTGCTACAGTTTTTAACTTCGTTTTGATTTGATGATTTTAGTTTCAAGAAGATGAAAAAATAACAACAACAATGAAAAAGTTCAGGAGCATAAAAAAGTCGAGGTTTTAGTTTACAGCAATGGCCTTGCAGTCACACCAGCTTACCTTTTATGTCCAATGTCACAGAAGAGCGAACCACAGTTCCTAGCTTGTTACTTGCTTCACAAGAATATTCACCACTGTCATCTTCCACAACCTTGGTAATAACAACTCTACTCTTTCTCTTATCTAGTCGGGTATCTATAACTGCTCGTTCCTTAAATGATTCTCCATCTTTTTTCCATATTATGTTTACGGTTTTCTCGTTGACTTTGCAGGTCAATGTGAGGACTTCTCCCATTGTGAGTGTTAGATGTGTCTTTGGAACAACTTGAGCAGAGGCTTTTCCTACATTGGGAAAGAGAAAATCGATTAAAAACCCAATGTCACATGAAAATTACAGCTGCAGAATCAAAACAAAACAAACTAACAAAAAAAAACTAATAAACAATAATATGGAAACGACCCGATCCAGATATGGCCTTAATATAATGTTTTTCGAATATTTCAATCGACTTAGTCTCATTATCAGTGAAAAGGTTCTGCCAATCAACTCTGGGGATAGATGCGAGAGAGGTAAATATCCAAAGGAATTATTTCGAACATTTGATCGCCATATCACCGTATATTTCGTTCAGGAATGAAAGTAATTCCTTTGTGTTTCCACGACCTTGTTCATTGTCAAGATTGTTAATTTTTGTATCACATGCAAAAATGGCTTTTGAGTTTCTCGTTCGTTTTCAAATCCTTCTCCTCTACTCTGAACTTCATGGATCTCTCTGTCACAGAAATATCTTCGTTAAAATGTTCCCGCTAAGATGTACAAAGCACATTTTGAAGTATTTCGTATTCATCAACAGACGATAGCGCCACTACTCGAAGTTTTTCCCTGCTTTATCAATCTTTCCAGGTCTACTCATTTGACTCAAATAGCGGAATCCTTTCGAGTCTGGAATTGAATTTTGAGCTTCCTCAGACTTAAGAGAATACTAACTTCGATAGTAATGAAACTTCAGCAAGAATTATACATAGGGCGGGATAACCAAGAAATGAATGATAAAAGAAATTATTGATACTGACCAGGTGGCTTGGTTATCCTACCCTATGCCAAATGATTTTTCGAGAAAGTCGCAAAATTAAAGTTCTTCGAGTTTTCAGCATCGAGGTCACCCATAAGCCTATCCGCTCCATCTCGAGCATGCTTAAAAAGTCAAAAGACAATATCGAGGAAGAAGCTTCCAGTAGAATCGTGTAAAAGATCAAATGTACAGATTGTGATTATGTTACGTTGGTCAAGCATCGCGCGTGCTAAAAAAACACGCGTTAAAGAAAACACAAAGACCATAGCAACATTGGATGGAAACTCTTTGTTGGCCAAACACCATATGCTTCACAGTCTCCAGAGAGATTTGGAGAATCTTGAAATTATTGACAGATCATCGGCGTGGCTACAAGGACTAATTCTTGAAGATTGGCATTCCGTGCGAGATGGCGACGCTATAAACAAACACAAAGCGCTACCAAAAATATCCAACAACATTGAGAACTTTTAGAGCCATTAAGAATACTCTAGAGAATATTGTTATACTTAAAAAATTCCTTCGAGATTTAGTTTCATCCTACATAATGTAAAAACATCAAGTAGGACATCGTTAGACATTCGCATTAGTTATCTTTGCATTGCTCAGGCTTAAGAAAATTCTAGCCTCGATAATAATGAAACTTCAGGGTCTCTTTGTCTGTACACATCAGTTCATAATGGAAATTGTGTGTAGTATGGAAGCAGTCTATCTAATAATAATAATAATAATAATAATAATT